AGTAGACCGGCAGATCTGATATCATCGCCACTGTGGTGGAATTCCATACATAAAGGCGAGGACGACAGCTGTACGCAGAGTGACATTAAGCGTTGTACACCGTGACGGTAGAATGCATACTCTAGCTACAAAAAAACTACGAAAAATCTCCTGTCCCCCCACCTTTAAAGATTCTTGAAACACTGTTTCTGTTGTTTCATAAAGATCATGTATGTCAAACTAGTTGTAAGAACCGATTATTTTGAATAGACAATAATCCGTTCTTACAACTAGTTTGACATACATGATCTTTATGAAACAACAGAAACAGTGTTTCAAGAATCTTTAAAGGTGGGGGGACAGGAGATTTTTCGTAGTTTTTTTGTAGCTAGAGTATGCATTCTACCGTCACGGTGTACAACGCTTAATGTCACTCTGCGTACAGCTGTCGTCCTCGCCTTTATGTATGCAATCGGGCGGCAGCTTTCTCTTTGCCCGCGTGGCTCAGTCGGTAGCGGCGCCGCACCCTCAATCCTCACCCTCACAAGTTCAACTCCTCGAGGGGCATCTTTGAACGGAATTTCGAGAACATTATTTTTTTCATGTCCCCCCACCTTTAAAAAATTCTTAAAATTGTGTTGTTATAAGCCTCTCATGAGTTTGAACTTGAGGGCCCACCGTTAGAGGTGCTACGCAGATACCAATTGAGCTCCGCTGGTGAAAGCATCGGCTTCTGACTGTTGGTATGACTGGGTACGGTAGACATGTAAGTTGTAATCGAACTACTTTAGAAATCGCTGTTTCATGATACTCATATAAAAAACATATTTTTAAACTACTAGAATCGACGTCTAAATAGAAGAACAGATTTAAAAAAAACTAACTTTTTTAGCTACGGTTGTGCTTTTTTAGCTAAGTTGTGGAGTATCGGTTTTTGTATATCTATTTGATTTTTATATCTTATTGGGTAATGTACATATAGAAGGTGTGACCTAACTAATTTCAAAAAATTACTGTTTAATTAAATTCATATGATCGATCGACTATGCGATTTTATCGATATCAGCCTCACTGCACACCATCACATCAAAATGTATTCCGTAACCAATAAAGCTCCGTTTCCAGTGATCACCTACCCTATCACTTTCCTATGCGTCGTTGGAATGTTTGTAGCAATGCTAGTAGTTTTTACAGTTCAAGATCTTGCGGATTTGTGAGTTTGAGACTTTCAACCTCTTCAGAAACGTTCGTTTTCAGTTACTTCTCCGAATCATTCTTCTTTCACTGGATATGCTACCTCCCAATGATTGTCTACGCTCTAATGATTGTTATCAGTGATAAGATTTATCGAAGGCTGGCATTGATTCTTAATGATTGGGAAAATTATCGAACCGACGACGAGTATGAGGATTTCCTGATCACTAAAATAGTGTTGTTTCAATTTGTCACTGCATTCGGATCACTGTTTTATATCGCTTTCGTTTTGAGGGACATGAAAAGATTGCAGGAGGTAAGGGGGTTTTTTGATTGAAACTTTCCAGTTTCATCATTCCGATTTAATTACCCCTCGGGGATCGACATGATTGATGTTGGCACAATGCGTAAAACAGCAAGGTCCAAAAACTCAGCCAGGATAGCATCTGTCTTTTACGTAGTTGTTCTCAAAACTCGACAATTTGACTGTAATGGAGTATATTATTATTTTGCAGATCTTGTAAAGTTTTACTTTTTTTTTCAATTCGATATGAAAGTCCGGTGTTCAACAGAGTCATGCGCCGGTGAAGATACCCTGGTGTACCGTCTCCATCTACTTGAGTTCAATTATCTCAATTTTTGTAACAGATATCAAAAAATTGCTAACTAACAAAATGTTGGCAATCTTATGATAAACGTTTTATCAGTGGGCAGATTTTTGATAGCTCTCATAGGAGCCGAGATAATTGAGCTCATAGTGCAACTCAGCCTTGACTAGAACAATTTCAGACCCTTGCCACATTGCTCATCACCCGTCAAGTCACACAAAACATCATGGAAACCGTGGTTCCGTTTATGATCGAAAAATTGAAACTGAGCAGTTTGACATACAAAATGACTCGAAGCATGAGTGATGGATCTCTCAGACGCCATGTGGAAAATGTGAGAAACAAAAGACAAAGTTCTGTGGAGCAAGAGGAAAGTCCCAGAACTCCAAGAGAAGGGTTGTTCACTTTGGGATCACCAGAAGGCCAAGAAGTTCGACAGAGGAAAGGTCTGGAAACAGAGAAGGAACAGCCACGAACTCTATCTTCTATATTCCGAGAGGACTTCTCATTGAAAACCGAACGTCTTCCACTGCCCGAATTCAAACCATCACATGATTCGAATCCGGAGCTAACACAAGCTGAACTGGAAAGTGTCATGTCTGTATACGCCCGTCCGTTGGATGATTTCCTGGAAATGTTCATTCAATTCGGATATGTTCTTTTATTCTCCCCAGCTTTTCCATTGGCTGCTGTTTGTGCTTTAATCAATAATCTCATTGAGATTCGGGTGGATGCGTTTAAACTGTGTAATACCGTACAACGACCATTTGGAAGGAGGGTTAAGGATATTGGAGCGTGGCAAAAATCTATGGAGGTGAGAAGAATTATGAAGGAAATATTGGTTTCCGAAAATTTAAAAATGTTATGATAAGAAAGTGAAACCGTATTTTTTTTAATATTTTGAACGAATATTTGCCGGTTTCACTTTTTTCATAATTATGAACACTTTTCAAAAAATCGATCTGAAGGTGTCAAGTCTAAAAATTTCATTTTCCAGCTACTCGGAATCCTTGGCGTCATGGTGAATTGTGTTCTCATTGGTCAATCCGGCCTTGTTCAACGCATTTGGCCAGAACTATCATGGGGTGGCCAGATATTGATTATTGTCGTTTTGGAGCATGTGATTCTAGCAATAAAAATGATTATCGACATTTTGGTGCCAGATGTACCACACTGGGTTCGAATCGAGACGGCGAAACAGGAGCATTTTAGAAGGGAGGCTTTTAAGGTGGGTATTTTTTTGCTGTTTTAAGATTGTCATTTGAATTGCTTCCTAGTAGTATGAAATGATAATGACACAGGCTGAAATGACACAGGCTCGGCATTTACCTATAGGAACATGTTAGGCTTTTAATAAGCTTCTTTCAGACTTCCTTTGAGTTTTCAAGGAAAAAAATTGTTCTGTATTTTAATACTTTAAAATTTGTAAGCTTTCAAGAAAATTGTTTTCATTTTCTAAAAAAATTGTTTCTGATTTTTCATGAGATCCATTAATTTTTTCGAACAATTATTCTCAGCGTAACAAAATATGGCAAAAAATTCGGGGGGTACAATGATTCGGGGGTACAAGGGGGTACAACTGATTTAGGGGTACAAAATTGGTGATTCGGGGGTACAAAATTCGTGGGTACAACAATTCGGGGGTACAATCTACCAATGATTCTGGGGTACAACCCATTTCATTTAGGGGTACAACGCTTGTGATTCGGGGGTACAATTTTTTTTGAGGGAGTTTCTGAATTCCTGAATTTCAGAGCTTGAAAATCTCAGAATTCTTAGAATTTCAGAACTTTGGAATTCCAGTATTTCTGAATCAGAAAATTTCGGAACTTCAAAATCTGAGAATCTAAAAATTTCCGAATTTCAGAATCTCAGGACTTAAAAAATTCGAAATCTCAGAATTTCTAAAAATTTGAAAATTCGAAATCTCAGAATTCCAGAATTCGGAATCTGAGAATTTCGGAACTTCAGGATCACATTGTTCTTTTTGAAAATGGAGAACTGTAAAAAAAGCTTGACAAGTTTTACAAACTCAGGTTTTTAATGCTTAATTTAAGATTAAAACCGTGCTGATACTTTCCTCAATACCAATTTTTCTCAATTCTATTTCATTTCTCTTTGTTTCTCAATATTCCTTCGTTTTCACCCCAATTTTCCGTTTTTTTCCCAATTTTTCTCAATTTTCCTCAATTTTCGTGGTAATTGAAATTTTTCTCATTTCTTTTCATAATTTTCTAGATCATTGATTAAAGGAAACAATCGCAAATTAGCAATTTAGAAACGAAATTCGAAAATCCCAAAAATTAGCCCAAAAGGAGCTATTTTCTCTCGAAAATTGTTCGAACAGGCAATAAAACATTGCAAAAATTATAAAATTAAATTTTTTCGATTAATTACCACGAAAATTTGAGCAAAAACGATGAAAAACGAAGAAAAACGGAAAAAATCCTAAAAATACAATTTGCGAGCGATGACGTTATCAGTCCATGGTCGTGGCCGAGCTGGGGGGTTTTCTCTTCCATGGGAAAGTTGCGCAAATTTCACAGATTTTCGCAAATCACATTTTTCTCCGTTTTCCTTCGTTTTTCATCGTTTTTGCTCAAATTTTCGTGGTAATTAATCGAAAAAAAAATAATTTTATAATTTTTGCAATGTTTCATGGCCTGTACGAACAATTTTCGAAAAGAAATAGTTCATTTTCGGCCAATTTTTTGGATTTTTTAATTTTTGTGTGTAAATAACTAAATAGTGATTGTTTTTTTTCATTCAATGATCTAGAAAATTATGAAAAGAAATGAGAAAAATTCCAATTACCACGAAAATTGAGAAAAAGAGAAAAATTGAGAAAAATTGGGAGGTAAAAAAAGGAATATTGAGAAACAGAAGGAATGAGATAGAATTGAGAAAAAAAAGCGATTGAGAAAAATTGATAGAATATTTTACAGCATACTTGCAACGGGCCGGGCCGGACTTTTTTCAGAATTTTCAGGGCCCGGCCCTGCTCGTCTATTTTCAGAAGAAAATTTTCCTGTCTTTCAAAAAATTTTTTGGGGTCCATAGAAAAAAAGTGGAAAACCTTTCGGTCAAGTAAAAAATTTTTCAAAATAAGAGTGTCCATAAAAAATGATTTTTTCACAAAAAAAATTTGGAAAAATGACTGAAATTTCAAAAAAAAAATTCAAATTTTGAGAACCCGGGCCCAGGCCGGGCCCTGATTTTGCAAGTATGTTTTACAGTTCTCCATTGTTTGCTTTCCGGAAATTTCGAGATTTTTTAAAATCAGAAAGAACAATGTGACAATGAGAAGTGAAAAACTTTTGTCGGAATTTTTGGAAATTCAGAAATTGCGAAATACTGAGATTCTGATGTCCTGAAACTTTGAGATTTTGAAGTTCTGAAATTCGGAAATACTCAGATTCTCAGATTCTGAAGATGCGAAATTTTCAGATTCCGAAATACTGAAATTCTGGAGTTCTGAAATTCTAAAATTCTCAGATTCTGAAGTTCCGACATTTTCAGATTCTCAGATTTTGAAGTTCCGAAATTTTCAGATTCCGAAATACTGGAATTCCAAAGTTCTGAAAATCTAAGAATTCTGAGATTTTCAAGCTCTGAAATTCAGGAATTCAGAAACTCCCTCAAAAAAAATTGTACCCCCGAATCGTTGTACCCCCGAATTTTTGTACCCACGAATTTTGTACCCCCGAATCACCAATTTTGTACCCCTAAATCAGTTGTACCCCCTTGTACCCCCGAACCATTGTACCCCCGAATTTTTCGCCACAAAATATGTATACACGGTTTAAAATGCTCATTTCGATGCAAAGCCAACAAAGACTTGAAGTTGCTAAGTTTAGGCTTTCTCTAAGCTTCCTTCAAAAATTCTTTGTGCTCACTTTAAGCTAACTTTTAGCTTTTGTTTAAGAGTATTTCATGTTAAACCCGAATGTAGTAACCTGTCATTTGTATGGTCCTTAAATATAACTATCCCATTCTTGCAGCGTGAATCCCGTCTCCTCTCCCACACGCAAACTCCATCATCCGATCAACAAAACAATCAACCGGAACCCTCTACACCTGATGCTGGACCAAGATTCAATCGATTGGATCAAATCAATCGATCGAAACGGAGAAGTATCACACCGATGGTTCGGTTGTCAAGTTTTACAAGGAAACCTAGAAAAGATAATGATGATAATTGTATTGATTGATTGATTTGGGAAATTCTAGTCATGTTTTGTTGAAATTTACGGGATAACTTTTTTTTCACTGTCTGTATTTTTTGGTTGCTTTTTTTTAATAATAAACAACAAGAACTGTAGTTTTTTGAACCGCAAAAGTGTATAAACTTGATGGAACAGCTAAAAAAACTACTGTACATGTCAACTTTACAATTTCATAATTTTCTGAACTTGGTTTTTTTTGTGGTTTCAACAATGAACCTGTAGTAAACACGCTTATTCATTCTTTCAGTTTTCATAAGTTTCAAAAATGAAACGAAATTCAATAAGTAAATTTTTCATAACAGCACATTACCTGCTGATTGAAGTTCAATGAAACAGAAAAAATCTAAAAAATCAAATAATATTAGTAGCCTGAACACTTCCAGTCCATATTCCACCCTTCTTCAGTTTCCTCAACTTGTTTCTTCTCTCCAATTGTTTTCCTTCGTTTTTCTCGTAAGAAACCAAATGGACGATCCATTGAAGCGTTTTTGAGACGTCGTCATCTAGTGAGGTGTACAGATTGGCGATTCGGTTTTTTTCCTGAAAAAAAACTGTTTTAGGTGCTTGAGATATATTGTCAAGTTTATGTGGTGTATTATTGTTATTTATACAGTGTTGGAAAACATAAATTTCGATCATATCAAATTTGATGAATTTTAATTAAAAGGCTTCGAATATGGTACTAAACAATTTTGAAAAATCGAGAAAACAAACTTTCAAAAATCAAGTATTTACTTAATGTTTAAGAAAAGAGGCCACATAGATAATACTCAAGTTAAAACATTTGTCAAAATATATGAAATCAGTGTAACCGATTTTTATTGAAATTTGATTACTGTTTCAGATTTTCCAGATAGTTTTGGGATTTGTCATTTCAAGCTGATATTCATTTAGCTGATAGGCTTTTTTGAAATAGGAGCAATTAGTAGAAAATTTACTTATAGTGATAACTTTCAAAGTTTCACTGTAGCAGAATTTTCTGAAAACCACATCCTTTGTTTTCGGTTTATTGAATCCTTGTAAGCTTCCAAAAAATGTTTTTTTTGCGACACTGTTTCTGATTTTCCATAGCTTCCATGAGTCCGAAATGTCCAACTAGTGGTATTCAATTTGCTATAAATTTTATTTCAAAAAGTTGGTATATTTTGTCACTGTTCATAACTTCAAAAATTTCAATAAGGTTTAGAAGAAATCCATCCATCTTTGAGCCTAATTATCTCGATTCCTATCAAAGATGTCAAAAAGTTGTCAACTGATAAAATGTTCATCATAATATCCCTAACGTTTTATCAGTGGACAGATTTTCGATATCTCTCAGATCCTTCAAAAAAGTTTTGGGATATGTCATTTCAAGTCAATCTCTAAACCGATGGCTTACCTGTAATCTAGTGATATCAATATCCTGCACAATTTCAGACAATCTTTTCAATGCGTCTGGAAGATTCTTGATGATTCTCTCAACTCTCATTTTGGAATTATCCACGTGTTGAGAGAGTCGTTGATGAAATTCCAGGATGTCGGTCTGAAAGATCAGTGAATTAAAACTTCTGGATTTTATAGTGCCAGTGTAGAAATCGCTATAAAATGAAAAAAGATAACTTGTTGAAACTGGAAATGTTTGAAAAAAAAAACCTTTTTCAAATTGATCATTTAATTATCTTTCTTGGGTCTTCTGAGCTTCGAATGGGATAATTATTGGTTTTGGAAAAAACATTTTTTTAAATTTTCAAGTTGATCCTTGAAAGTCGCAAGACTTAAAAATTTTCTTCTATAGACAAAATTACAGTGGTAGGAAAATCGAAAGCCCTTTCTCACCCTAACAAGCTCCGACTGCTTCTCAGCCCACTGCTCCACACGTTCCCAAATGTCGGATTTGCTCAATTTTTCATTTTGAATTATCGAGAAGAACTCTTGACGGCTCAGCTCATCGGCGCCTAAAAATCATTAGACTGGAAATTTGCAAACTTCGAAAAATCTCACTTTTCAAAAATGGCAATCTCTCCTCCAACTTTGCATTCTGAGTATCCTGGGTTCTTGTCGGTACTGTTATAGATTCCACATTAGGTGGAACTTCAGAAGAAGCTTCTAGAGTCTCTACTGTAGTTGATGGTAGAACACCTCCTACAATCAGAGTGGGAAATAGAAGGAATAGACAAAAATACATTGGTCTGTATGATACAAAAAGTGTGTTTTGGGGAAAAGGTTAGAAAATTTTGGAGCATATCGGGGTGAAGGGGAGCAAATATTGTGGTGTCTCCAGGCTAATGGATTAAGCGGTAGATCAAATAGAAAAAGTGAGGAATATACTGTATGTTTTCGGTGTGTTTGTGTATGTGTGTACATAAATAGAAGAAATGGGATACATTGAAATAAGAACGAACTTTTCGTTTTGAATAGCTTAATGTGGAAAATGGACAGGTTTGGTGGGAAATTTGAAAATATGGAATTATAGGAAAAGAGAATTAAAACGAGCACAGAATATAATATGATAAAATGTATCTTTCGGAATTAATGACGATTTTGAAACAGCATATTTATGTGTAATTCGAATATTAGATTCTCTTTGAAATCTTTGATGTATCGATCAAAAGATTGATTCAATTTGAGAATTCTAGTGGAAAATTACATTTTCATAATGTTTTTGAACTGAATTTTTTTGAATTCAGTTTGTAGACAGATTTCTATTGTTTTGAAACACGTTCTTGCAATTATCCCAGTTTTTAGGCTGAAAATTCGGATATTATTCAATAAAAATTACTGCTTCTTAATGTTATGTCACCATACATTTCAAAAATTTGTTAATCGTGTTAGAATACACACCATTATCATTAATAATAACATTCACCAAATTCTGTATGTTCGTATGTATGTCACGTGACTTTTCACCCATTCAAAGTTAATCGATGGAGGGGAAACCTAAACAGACGAATCAGAAATTTTTATTAGTTTAGGACCGAACTTTTCGTTTTTCGAAATTTTGATCTTGAAGTCTTCTGAAGACGCTCCTTGGTTTCGTGAAAAAATGCCGAAGGTGGAATTCTCGAATATAGTGCAACTCGCCCGGAAACTCTGACTATGCCGGTCACGGTACAACAGAAGATTGGATTTTTATTATTCAACCGATTTCAAGCTCGAAATTCATTTTTGATCATTAATTGGCTTCCAGTAGACCCCACACGGTGGGTTTGAGCCACTTTATCTCGGTTCTCGGAAAGATATCGAAAAATGGTCGGCTGACAAAATGTTACTGATATTACGAGGAACATTTTATCCGTTGACACATTTTTGATATCTCAAACAGGAAACGAGATAATCAGGTCCAAAGGAACTTTTCATGGTGTTTCACAGATTTCAAAAGGAAAAAATTCAATTGATATTTAAACGTGATGAAAAAAAATATTTTTAAAAACGCACGACCCTATATGACCCATTCAGACATAATACTATAAAAATAGAGGGAAGTGAAGGAAACAATCAGTTCTCAACTTCTCTGGGCTCCAGAATGGGGAGCCAAGATCCGGGATCCGGAATCTGGAATCTGGAATCTGGAATCCGGAATCCGGAATCCGGAATCCGGAATCCGGAATCCGGAACCCAGAATCCGGAAAAACTCTAATCTGTAAACTAGCTAAAAATTGAGAAAAATTGCAGTTTCAAAATCTTTGTTTTTTGGGACACCGTTGACATGATACGGTCACTTTTTTCTATAGGGTTGTTTTTAAAATAGGTTTTCCATCACCTGAAAATTCCAAAGAACTGTATTTCTAGGCCACCGCTGTGAACTATTGACTTAAAGATTTTTTATCTGTTTCGAATTGTTATTATTATGAATATGTTGATCCTATCAAGGTATTGAAATCATTCATGGGAATTTTGAAGAATTTGAAAACGCACCAAAGACAAGTGACCTCATTAGCGTTTTTCGGGATTAAATAAATCCAGAAAAGTAATCTAAAATTCTAAAGATATAATAACCCAATAATCTCCCCCTGTTTTGGGCAGAAACTAGGTCGAACCTTTCCGGTTTATTTTCTATTCGAGTAACAGTGAAATCAAAGACGGAGATTTGTAGATTTCGAGTAGTCTTGATTCTGGATTTGTAGCGCTTGAAAATCGTTTTCAATATGAAAAATAGGTTCATCAAACGTCCGGTTGCAAAAATGTCAGTTGCGAAACGTTTGGTATAAACCATCCGAAAATAAGTCAACTTCGCAGATGTGTCTAGAATGACTTCACAATTCAAAAATTTATTTTCTTTTCTAAATTTTTATATAAAAACTTTTTTTAGTAAACATTTGAAGCGAGTTTCTGTTCATCATAGTTGTAATTTAACAAAAAAAAAGAGAAATAATCTTCTTCGGAAATATTTTTTCAAATCTACCCACTACCATAAAATGGAAAAAATAGCAGTTTCAAAAACTTTGTTTTTAGGCGGTTTTTAATATGATACTGTTAATTGGTTTCTATAAGATACTGTTATTTTAGTTTAATACATCATTCAACATATATGATATTTTAATGAAATCCGAGTTTTTAGGCCACTGATTCTGAAATCCGAATTTATTTTTAGGCAACTTATGTAAATTTCTGATTTTCAGACTTCCTATTCTTTTCTGTATCACATTGCTAGTATGAATTAATTCTATCAGCGAATTTCAATTTCTTTTCTTTATGATTGAATAGATTTTGTGGCTTGAACTGCGTAGCTATAGAAGCTATAACCGCTCTATTTTGGCTCTTTTCAGTGGTACACACACACACACACACACACACACATAAATATGAAAATAGTGGACTATCCAAAGAAAAAGTCTAATTTAGATGTGTAGATTTCTAGTTTTTTCCTGTTTTTTGTTTTTGAGTAGATAGGATAACCTTGATTTCTGATCTGGGACCCGGAGAAAAATTTGCGAAACGATCGGTTCTGAAACGTCCGGAAAAAATATTTTTGGTATTCAAAGTTGGTTACCTAGAAACCAAAAAAATCACATTTCTGGGTCACCCAATTTTTTCCACTTTTTCAAAAATTTCTTGTTTCAAATCATGCTCAAAGATGGAAAATTATTTCTATTGCTATTCCAAAGCAAAAACCGATGACCCATTTTTTGACAAATCCCGGAGAACCTAAAAATAAAGTATCATAATCCGATAATCTCCTCGGCTTTGGGCAGAAGGTATGTTGAACTATTCGGTTTAGTTTTTGTTTTTTCTTCATGATTAAGCGGATTTTGTGGTTTGAACCGTGTAGCTGGAGAAATTCAATTTCCTGGGAATAAAAAAAAACAACAAAACATTTCAGAAAACAAAACGAGTTTCTTTTGTCTACAAGATAACATTTTTTACAGATACAAATAGTTTATATTAAGTATGGACTTTTAGAAAAACATGTTTCGAAATGATCTTTAAAAGTGGGGGAAAGGAGATTTTTCGGAGATTTTTTGGAGCCAGGGTATGCATCTTACCGTGACGGTGTACATCGCTTGATGTCACTCTGCGCACAGCTGTCGTCCTCACCCTTATTTTGACCATCATATGTGAACGGAATTTCGAGAAAATTATTTTTTTTCATTTCCCCCCACCTTTAGTGAGAAATTTTTTCAAAAATAAAAACGGGAAAATACTGTACTTGGAAACAAAATTATGCTGATGTCGGGTTGCGAAATGGCCAGGTGCGAAATGTCCGAAACAAACTATGCCGTTTCAATCGACGTTTTTTGGTTTGCCCCGGACTTTAGGAACTAGTTTGGAACTGAAAAAATATTTTCAGAACTTTTTTCCGAGAAATAATAGGTTTTTAGGGTTGGAGTCCTAGAAGTGAAAAAATCAAATTTCTGGGTCACCCAATTTTTTCCACTTTTTCAAAAATGTCTTGTCATGCTCAAAGATGCTCAATCATGCTAAAAGATGGGTAATTATTTTTAGTGCCATTCCAAAGAATAATCTGTCGAACCATTTTTTTTTGACAAATCCTGTAGAATCTAAAAATATCGAAAAATCTAATAATCCAATAATTCTTTTTGGTAAGAAACTAGATTAATCTTTTCCAATTAAGTTTCTTTTTTTAAATGTATTTTTAGGTGAATTTTGTGTTTTAAACTGTGTAGCTGGAGAAATTCAATTTCCTAAGAACCAAAGAAAACCCGGACATTTTTGATGTTTCAGAAATCAATGAGCGTTTATTTTCACTACAAGCTGGAACAATTTAACTTGAGAACGCTTTATATTTTTTTACAGGGACAAATAGTTTAAATTGAGTATAGAATATTAGGAAAATATGTATTGGTAGATCGGGATTTCGTTATTTCTCCAAATTTTTGGTAAATACAGAAACAGTGAAATCGGAGTCGGAGATTGGTAGATTTTGAACTTTTTGCCGTTTTTCAATGTATTCGAACGGATCGGATATACTGGATTTTTGGTCCGAGAGATGTTCCGGATTTTTTGAAACAGCAGTCACGAAACGGGCGGTTCTAAAACGTCCGGTTGCAACATTATCAGTTGCGAAATGTCCGATACAAAAAATTCTATTCCAATTGACGTTTTATGATTTGTACCGGACTTTAGGAACTAGCTTGGAACTGAGAAAAACATTTTCATAGTTGTCAGAATTGTTTTTCAAAAAAAATAACTGAATATCAAAGTTGGTGGACTAGAAACCGGAAAATCCAATTTCTAGGCCACCGAATTTGTCGTTTTCATATATTTCTTGTTTCAAATCTTTTTCATATAATGAAAACAATTGTACTGTTAGTTGTAAAATTGTTCCGGCAAGCCAAAATTCTAAATTTAAATATATCCAAAAGTATAATAATCCGATAATCCCTTCGCAGAAACTAAATCATACTCTTTTTTCGTATTTTATGAATCATAGAATTTTGTGGTTTGAGCTCAGACCAATTCTCGTGCTCTTTTGAGCCCGTGTGATTCAATTTTTCATTTTCTTCCTTCCTCTTCCTTTTTTGCGGGGACAAAACACAGATTTTTGATTTTTGATAAAATGTTTTATTTCATTTTTTGAGGAGAGAAAAATAATTATTAATTAGAATGAGTCATTTCAGGAAGACAAGAAAAATGTATGTACAAAAAAAGAGAATGTGAATATCACACATTGCCTGAGGAAGAGCCATTGCTGAGTCAGAGAGATTTTCGGGAAGCGAGAGAGAGTTTTTGGGACCACAAAAAGGGGAAAAAACGACTAGAGGAGAACTAAAAATAGTATTATGACTGGGAAAACTGGGCGGTACAAAGAAAATCAACATTTTAAACCGGGTTCGTGAAAAGTGGAGATTGCAAGAATGGGTTGGTAAGAAGATTGGGCGTTGAGAGTGTTGGCATTGTCTTCTGAAGCATTTGCATCGACGATGGGGTTACTGTAGGTGTGGCCAGTGGTGGCAAAGTGACACCAGCAGCCTGAAGAGCGGCGGCAAGTTGGGCTGCTTGTTGTTGAAGACGGAGCATAGACAAAACGTCAGTAGGTTGGGTTTGGGATCCCATCAAATCCATCATTTGGTTATTTTGCTGTTGTTGCTGGAGTACGGTATTGTGAAGGATGAGGGAACTGATGCTCTGTTCAGTGGATAGTTGTGGAAGTTGAGCTTGTGGAGTTACTGGCTTGAATGGCGACATTTGCGAGAGCACTGGAGCAGCAGGAATCGGCCTGGCCAGCATTGGAGAGGTCACTGGGATTTGGAACCTTGGAATGGTAGATGTCATTGGGAGGATTGGAGCCGCCGTGGTGAGCTGAGCAATGGAGGACATTGGAAGTTGTGGTGGTTGGCTCATTGGTGGGAGAGCTGCTGGAAGTGGCTTCTCCTCGTCGGCGTCGTTGACGAAGATTCGCATCGCTGGGATCGTTGGGAGGAGGATGTATTTTCCTTTTCCGGATATTTCGTCAACTGACATTTTCTTTGGAGCAATCACTGGGATGTCTTCGACTCGGTTTTGCTGAAAATATGGGGATTTTAGTTGTGGTAGCGATCTTTAAATGGGTGTATCTCAAGAAGTACAGTAGCTATCAAGAAGTCATTAATAGAGAAACTAGCGCATCTTGTTTCTTTGTGTCTAACGTTTATATCTCAAAAACCAAAAACGCTATTCAAAAGTTGTCTACTACTAAAATGTTTGAAATATTACGCGCCAGAGAAGCTATCCCATCACATGGGTTCTAAGCAATGAGTCAGTAGCTAAATGACGCGGCACATTGCTTAGAACATAGATCCCTTTATTTTCTTGCCTGGTCAGAATCACAAGAAAATGTGAGAATACAAGGATACGTCATGTGTCTACGGATCTATGAAGCCTTATTCTAGAAATGCTCCTTACCGTTGGTTGTGCTACAAATGTGTGTGCTCTCTTCCTCATTGGCGTTGGACTTGGGCTCCGCGTGACTGATGAATCTGAAGTTACTGAAAACTCAAAATTTAAACTCCAACTTCTCAGCTTAATAATAAACTCACTCTTTTTGGATCGTTCCAATTCTAGTCGCCGCTTTTCCGACGCACATTTTGCCTTCCATATATCATAGGACATCACTGTCATCTGGCCTAGGGAGCCACTTCGGGGTTCTAGGCCATTATTGTTTGGTGTGGATGTGGAGGACATGACTGAGGGGCTGGTACGTGTGATAGGCGTCGTCTGAAGAATAGGAATCATATTTTGGAGTTGTTGAGAATGAGCCGGCGAGGCAGGTGCTCCGCCTATTCTGACCGGTGTGACTAGGCGAGTGTGAGAAATTGCTCTGGCTGTGCTCTAGACGTCTTTGCTAGTGAAGAGAGCAGGGGATAGAGAAGAGGAGATTAAAAACCATAAGATCAGAATTTTCCCCTTCTCTATATGCTCATTTGCGGGTATGTCTTATGCGCGTGCTACTAGAGAGGGAGCAGACTAGAATCTTGTTTTCAGAGAAAAGAGAAAATGTGGTGTTATATGGAAATCATATAGAAGTAGCCGCCGAAAATAGAATATTAGTACGGCTTAGTGAAAGGTTGAAATAGGTTTATATAGCATCAGGTAATGTAAAGTAGGCTTTGCTAGCTACATATAAGCTAGCTTTATGTAGGTCAAGCTAGCTTCAGGTAGCTTAAGCTAGCCTTACGAAATTTGAGCTAGCTTCTGGTAGCCCTAGCTTGGCTTAGCTTAACTTAGCTTGTCTTAGCTAGCTTCAGGGAGCCCTAGCTTGCCTTAGCTTGTCTGAGTTAGATTAAACTAGTCTGAGCTAGCTTGAGCTAATTTTGAGTATCTTCAGGTAGTCTTAAATAGACTCAGGAAGCCTAAAAGAGTTATAAGTGACTTAAGCTTGACTTATTTCGCTTAAGCTAGCTTCAGGTAGTCCTAGCTTGCCTTAGCTAGCCTTAACGTGATTTAGCATGCTTTAACTTGCGCTTAACTTGCCCTTAACTTGCCTTAGCCTGACTTAACTGGGCGCAGATTGTCTTAACTTGCCCCAGCCTGCCCTAGCCTGCCCTAGCTTGCCGCAGTTAGCTTCATATAGCTTATATCGCTTACCGATGATGTTCGCGTATCACTGCTATCCATATCAGGTGTAGAAGTCTTTGAGCAGAACGATGATCGTCTGGAGTATCCTGAAAAATTGGAAAATTGGAAATCCAATAAAAGAAGACCAGGAAGAAGACACCAAAAGTGGATTGAATTTCTCTCCATAGATGTAGGGCATTTTTAGATAAAGATCAGAAAAGAGGGGCAAAAAGAGATTCCGTACTTGGCGTACAACATTTAGGGGGGACGCGAAACAGGGGGACGAGATTTTGATCTTTGTCCACCTGCGCGATATTCATTTTTCATAGTCTGTGTACACTACTCCCACATGTACTAGTCTAAGGGAAAATGATTCACTGAAACCGAAAAATGTAAAAAATTCGATTTTAGATACATATCTCATGAACCATTAAAGCTAACTTATAAATGCCTAGGCTAAAAGTTAAAGAAGATATACTATGCGTCATATAATGGGGCTCATTTATGTGCATATTATGCGCATATTATATATTGACGTCAATGTGAACCACGCGGTTTCTGGTCTAAAGGCGAGAAAGAAAGGAAAATGACAGAATTGGTGAATGATAATATTCTGATAGTGTTATCAGTTATTCTGACGGGCTCTCTATCAGTTCTATGAACAAAGAGACACATTCTATGAATCTTCTATTCTTCAGAATACAAGAGACCTGACGTCTTCTAAACCACAGCTGTCAACAGAATCTATGAATCAAGTGGGGTTTGAATGAAATAGGAGCTACACGTTTCTGTGTACTGAAAGTAGGAGTGAAAAACAGAATATTGAGGAGCGGAGTGCTGTTGGCAAAATCAGACGGACCAAACACGAGAGGGAAATAGTGTGTGAAGTGAAGAGAGTTTCTAGAAGAGTGCAGAAAAGAGACGCAGACATTGGAATGGAAGAGGAGGAGGTGGTTAGTTGGAAATGCACTAAAAACAGGGGGACCGAGGCGCAAAACAAAAAGGTCAGAGTTTTTCAGCAAAAATAGAGTAGAGGACGGGGAACAGAAAGACCAGGACACACATTTTTTTAGTTCGGGGCGAAAACAACTTTTTGGGATGGGAAAGAGGAAGATTGGGGTTTTTGGGATTTTCTTGAAGCTAAGAAGGGTCTAACAAAAATTCTAAACAAGTCAGCAGTAGTAACATGAAGTTCTTAAAGTTATTGAAATTTTGAAACAATGAAGTTTTGATTTTTCTAGGGAAAAGTGTATATTACCTTAAAAACTGGTGTTAACTTTGAGTTAAATTTATCTCGATTCCTATCAAAGATGTCAAAAAGTTGTCAACTGATAAAATGTTCATCATAATATCCCTAACATTTTATCAGTTGACAAATTTTTGATTTCTTACATAGGAATCGAGATAATTGAGCTCAAACTTGAAAGAATCGCTTACTTTTTCTATTAAAGGTGTTACAGTAGTTATGAAGAATTAGAAAAAGGGAAAATTTCTGGAATTTTGGAAAGTGGAAACAAATTGGTAGGTTAGGAAAACACCAAATTTTGAATTTAATGAAATATTAAAAATTGATTTATGATGTTCTAGATGGTTTTTGAGATTCTAAAATTTGTTCATCGAATCTGCCGGTTTCAAATTTTCCATGAATTTTTTTGGTTTTTATCAAACTCAATAAAAGCGAGTTGTGTGTTCAAACAGGTTTAAAAGAACTTTAGAGAAAAAAGTGGTGTTTGAAAATCAAAAATTCTTAATTTTTTTCAAAATGTGAAATGGATGGGACTGTTCCGAATTTCTTATAAAAACTTGATAACAACTTTTTGAAACAGTGGTACCAGAAATTTCAAAACCATCTAAAACCGAACTCTGTATCCCAAAAGTGCATTCAAATGAAAAAAACAAGAATGATGAAATTTCCCAATTCATGTCAACAGCCTCCCCCGTTGATTTTCGAACTGTTACTTCAGAATGTCCTGCAGTACAAAAAAATTAAATTATTTGTTTTTATTCTTATTATTCATTCCAAGTAACCCCAAAAAATAATTTGTATTGTGTTCCTAGAATTGTATGATTTTTGTCTAGTCTGTGTCGATTAGTCAGGCCTACCACACTAGATTTTTGATCATGAGAGACAGAACAGAAACTATTGTCGGGGACATTTTTGGAAAACCGAGCAGAACACACAGAACTACAAATCAGAATAGGGCTTCTGATTTGATTAGAGGAAGGTGACGTGGCATTTAGGGATCATAGATTGGGGTACTAGTATTGTGAGCCATTTGTCTTGGTTACTGTAAAAAATATCAAAAAGTGATAAATTAATAAAATGTTTGTTAGGAAATTTGTTATATTTTAGCAGTTAATACTTTTTTGATATCATTTAAAGGAACCGAGATGAATTGGGTCAAAGTTAAGGTTTAGATACGTAGGCTTAAGTTAGCAAAAACGCTTCTATCTCGCTAACCATTATTCCTATTTAAAAATGTTCAACTAAAAAAATGCTTAAAATTGAGTTTTACGCATTTTCACATTTAAGCCTGTCAGCTACAATACCTTCTTCATCGTCAACACTGGAGCTGGATTCTGTGGCATGTCGTTTAGCGTTAAGTGCGGCTGCTAGCTCAATCTTCTCCTTGTTCCGCTTGTTAAACGACTTCAGCCGTTTGTAGTTTAACTTTTCACACTGAAAATAACAAGTAAAATATAGAACTCAACTACAGTAACCCACAGATTTACAACTGCAAAGGATATAGGGGCATTGGGGTGAGTGATTCTTCAAAATCACTTTTTCACCATGTCCTTCGCACTTTCGACAGTACAGAATTCGTCCTTTTGGTTTTGGGGAGCTTGACATGTCTTGGGAGGATGGCGAGTAGTTCTCGTTGGATCGGTGGTGTTGGTTCTCGTCGTCAATGGTCACTGTTGCGATGATGTGTGGGCTCATTTTACTGAAAAATTGGGGATTTAGGAGGTAGGAACGTTCTTGATGGAAAAATCGAAACTACGAATTGGCAAAAAAATTCTGATTCAGAAACTTTGTAAAGATTAATAAGATTTTTGAACATCTGGTAGGAAAGTTACATCATATCAAAGAATTGAAACTACAGTAATCCAAAAATGTACACTTGCTAGACTCCTACAGTAACCTAAACATAGCCTTACAGTAATATTCGCTAGAGGTAGGCATAAAAATCTACAGTAATCCTTCTTCGAGCTACTTGAAGTGTGATAAATGAGATTTCTTAAAAGTACCGTAATCCGAAATCTTTGATGAACATTTCCGTTTCAAGTCAGTCATATAAACTTTTAAAGCTGGATAAATGTGATGCTTGTCATATTCTGTGTAAACTTTTCAAACTGATTACTGTACTTGCAGATCCAGGAAAAAATGTTTGCTGATTTAGAAAGTTAATATTATCTTGAAGGTTTAAAGTTATTGATAAGTTTGGTGAATAGGATGCAAACTACAGTAATCCAAAAAAAAAAGTGCCCAAGCCTTAAAGTAATCCTAAAGGATAAGGACCTACAGTAATCTTTCTCCTAGCTACTCCAAGGAAGTTTAATCTAAGAATAATCCTGAATTCTAGAATTCTATATAAGGGGGGTGGAGTTTGATCAAAAAAAGAAAGAAGCGGAAGTTAAAAAAAATTCTCTCTTTGGGTCCAGAAAAAATATGTCATTTTCTGTCTCCCCAGAAAAACACTCCGTTTTTTCTACTTCTTTTTTTTGCTTCCTTATTTTTTTTCTCCCCTCCCGCGTTCCTTCTAGTAGTTCAATAATCATCTTTTCCCTCTTTTTTTCGCTTTTTTCCCCCTAGTTGTTCATTTGTGTTCGAAGATCAGTCTGGGGAACGGGGAAGTCTGGGTGAGCTGGAAAAGCTCAAAAATTGGTGGGCGGAGCTTGACAATGACCAGTGCTCAAAACACAGATCTCATTGAGATGGAGCACAAAACAGAAAGCAATGAGACAAGAAAAAATAACACGGAAATTGCAATTTTCTGCAAGAAAAGGTGTTCTAGGGAAAAATAAGGGGGAGATAGGGAAGTAATTTTGGTGAGATCGGAATTCTAAAAAGTTGGAAAACATATAAAAATTGAAGGTTTTGAAAAATTGCAAAAAAATTTCAGTTTCGAAAATTCCATTTTTGAACTAAAATATCAATAAATCTTGCTGGTTTCTCGCATTCGTCAATAAATTGAAAATTTCAGAATTTTTTCTTGTTATTTTTCCCAAAATAAAAACTTCAAAAAAGGTCAAAATGTTATAAAATTTTCATTTTTAAAAGATTTTCAACTAATTTTGCTTGAACAATTATTAAATTCTTGTGTAGTCTTGAAATTCAAAATTTCGCTTGAAAATTTTGAATTTTTTTTTTTTGAAAAATCCCAAAAAATACCGGAAATTCGAGAAAATTAAATTTCAAAATTCGAAAAAAATCTGTTTCGAAAATTCCATTTTTGATTTTTCAACTTTTTTCAATGATCTTGGGAGAAATTAGTTCTAAAATTCAAAAAAAAAACGCACATTCAAAAATGCTATTTTTCTCCAAAGTTCAAACTTTTCCAATTTCTTCACAAATCCGAGAAAAGTCAAAAAATTTCAACTAAAAAACTGTTTTCCTCAAAACGCAAAATCTTTTTCAAACTAACCAAATTCATCCTCTATCTAAGATCTCATCTCAGCCCTACAGTACTCCCTCCGCCCTAAAGTGTGCGGAGCCTATAATTCTATTCCAATTGTAAGGTTCAAGAAGACCAGACACAACAGTAAGCATTTTCTTTTACAGGAATAATGTAAATTTCTAGGGTACAAAGTACCTCAAGTTCAGTTTTCAATGAATACCCTTGAGCAAACATTTGGGTCCACCCTTTTCGCGAATGATGATGAAAAGGCGGGTCGAAAAGTGTTTAGAAAAGTTTGTGTAGACACAAAACTCGAAAAATTACGTATTTTGTGACTCCACACAAAAAGTGTCATCCTTTTTGGGTTTTTGAACTCTTGGAATTTTTTTAAATTCTAAAAACGCAATTTTCAGAGAATTCCTAGAAAAAGCCTTCAGAGTTTTTTGAGATGGAGAAAAAAAAAGGAATCTTTGGAGAAGAGGAAAAACAAGGAACAAGAAAAAAGGATGGGGATCAAAAAACTGCTGCCCCATGGTCCCGTTTGGAACAGAGAACAGAATTTTTTCCTCTTTTTCGCCTTTTGGGCTCTTTTTCTGTGTTGGTTTTTGGGTATTCTCGACACATGGGAAAAACATTTTTTAGAAAAAAAAGAGAAAAACAAAAAGTTCAAAGTCTGAGGGAAACCCAGAGTGGAGGAGGAGATTTTTGGTCCCGGAGCATTATTTTGTGTTTTATGCTTCAATCAAAAAAAAATACTGAAATTTTTTGAACTGTTTCTAACACTTTTGAAATTCCAGAAAATTTCAAAATCTTCGGTTCAAACGATTTCAAACTTCGCTAAAACTTAAAAAAAAAACTTTTAAAAATGCTGACTATTCGCTTTTAAAAACCAAAATTGCGAACAAATATCTAGGCCTCGTAGTCTACAGAAGGCACAAAACTGCCTTTTTTCTGTGACAACGAGAAAGAGAAACAAGAACAAACATCCAAGATCCACCTCCCAGAGAAAAAGAAAAGAACACAAAAAAATTGAGCACAAAAAATATTTGTCAGGTTCATGGAGAGCACAAAAGTTGTTGTGTTAAAACAATTCTTTTTTTGATTTTTTGGGGGTAGTTAGAAGTGCAGGTTTCTTAAGATTACTGTAGTCGACTAGATAAAGGCTATAGGCTTACTATAGTTTGTACTTAGATGTGCAGGTCCCTTCAGACTACTGTAGGACCTCTTAACCCTGTAAACAGTTATAGGCTTACTGTAATTCTTAGTTAGATGTGGAGAAAAAAAATCTCGTTGGATCAAAAAATTTGGGGTTTGTAAAAAAAACTGTGATTGAGAAACATCATTTTTTTTGAAAAAGTTAGATATGCTGGTTTAAGATTGCTACTGTAACTTTAATTCAAGTAATACAGTAATCCGAGAGTGATATTAGCAACCACAGTAATACATTAGCTGATTACTGTAGAATTCAATTCACTGTACAACTTTGAAGATGAACGTCCGAATAAATCAAAAAGAATGGTTTAATGGGAATAGTGAAATTGGAAAAGTTCAAAAATTCAAAAGTTAGAAATTCTTGGTGATTCGAACGCCTACAGTAATCTTATTGTTAGGGTGATAACGTTACTTACAGTAATCCATGAGCTACACCACTTATTTAGATTACTGTAACTTAAAAGTTTTTAAATTCGAAATAATAAATTGTTGATGATTCAAACGCTTACAGTAATCCTAGAGATATCGTTAACTACAGTAATCCATTAGCTAGAATACTGTAGTTCTAGATGGGTCACTGTAGCTTCAACTAGATTACTGTAGTTCTTTTTGGATAACTGCAACTTGGTCTAGGTTGCTTTAATTTCAACTAGCTCACAGTAGCTTTATTTAGATTACTGTAGCTTTAACTGGAGTACTGTACTTTTGGCTGGATGACTGTAGCTTTAACTAGGTTACTGTAGCTTCCTTCAAAATGTCAAAAAACTCACCAATGAGCAGCAACAGCCAAAAAATGCGTTTTTCGGTTGATTTTTGAGCCAAACACAAGTTTTTTGTGGGACGGCTCTCACAATGTATGACTTTTAGGGTTTCTTCTGAAAATTAGGATGAATTAGAGAAAATTTTTAAAGAAGAGCTATACGAGAAGCCATAGCGGAAACGTGATTTTTGAAAATACTGGGAGAATTTGCATAAAAGTTGAAAAATGGCCTAATAGGATTATAGAGTTTCGGGAAAAAATTTTCGGGAAAAATTTTTTTGGGTAAAAGGGGAACGAAATGGAATGAAAATAGATTTTCGGGGAGAAAACGAAATTCAACAAAAAGATAAAAATCGAAAAATGCCAGAAAAAGGACAAGAACAGAAAATGGATCAGTGGGAGAGAACCGGGATACTGGATTTTGATCTTAATAGGGTAGAGAATTGAAAAAGGGATTTCAGGAAATCAAAAAAGATAGGAATCTGGAAAAAAAATGGGAAGAAAGAAACGAAATTGGACAAAGAGGAACAATTTGATGGAACCGGATTTTTTTTTGGGAAAAATGGAGTTTTTTGGGAAAATGAAATTTTTTGGCAAATTTTGTTTTACAATGGGTTTCATGATTTAAGATTCGAAATGAATGGAATTGAATAATGATTTGCATTAGAAAACTTTGTTGGCCATAAAAAATAGCGGGAGTTCGAAACAGAAAATTAAAAAAAATTACTGTTTCATTTTATGCATTTTTCACCAACAGTCAAAAATTTACACCAAATGACATAGCAAAACGACATAGCAAAATGGAAATCCGCATAAAATCTAAAGGGATTTTCAGTTTTAAACTGTTTCACACTACGTGCAAAGCATCCGATGTACCCAGATTTCATACTACGGACACGAAATTTCGGAAATTTTCGTATTTGGAACATACAAGCAGGATCTGTAAATTTTTGTACATAGTTTGGTGGAAAAATGATCCGAATAGGGAGATAAGGAATTCATATATGAAGGAACATAGAGGAAGAATCGTGATTTGTGTAATAAGTATTGTTTGTAATAAGAAGAGTAATCTTAAAAGTTCTAGAAGATTCTGGAAACTGGATTAGCTTTGATAGCCTAGAAAACCTTAAAGTGTCTGGAAAAAATTGGGAAAAAAAAAATCAAAAATTAATGTTTCAAAATGTTTCAAAATTGTAACTCTTCTTAAGGACTACTAATGGGCGAAACACAGCATAAAAAATTCTTAAGTTAGAGTTTCTGTAAGAAACCAACACACAAATTTTGTCGTCCTCTCCCATTCTCTTCGTGACCTTGTAAACTTCTTATAAAGATCCGAAAATTTAGATAAAA